AATGAAAATATGATATAAACTCCTCAGCAGAACATAAAATCCTTCATAAGGCCCTTCCTACATTCCCTTTTCATATTTTGGGTCTTATCCAAGCTGTACTACTTGCAAATTCCCCAGTACATTCTAACACATGCTATTTTCTCTGCCAGTGGAGCCTTTTCCCCATTCCCCATGGCTTAATTCAAGGTTCAACCACTCTGTTTTTTACTCTCCATTTCCTCCTTGCCAATAAACAACTTGAAAATAAGGATTGTGCTTCTGATTATCTAGCACTTAGAACATCTCAATAAATATATTTTCATTAATCCCACAGCTTGTTGAGCCATAAACGTGCCATGCCAGCCCATTGCTGGTTATTGGTGGACACAGTGAATAAGAACAAACATAAACAATGAAAAAAGCAAGCTCATAATTTTGGTAGCAGAGAGAGAGAGAAGAAGAAAGAGAGAGAAGAAAACAATAAAGCCAGAATCAGATAGGGGTCAGAATCAATGTAATAAAATGTTAGCACTTACAAACAGAGGGGCAATTGTAGACTACTAAAGGAATTAAGAACACTATATACTGCCCTATTATTTGCTGTGTACCCTAGTTTTGTTTTTTTTGCAACAAAATCTGTTAAAGAAATGGATTAAGGCAGTGGTTCTCAACCTTCCTAATGCCTCGACCCTTTAATACAATTCCTCATGTTGTGTTGACCCCAACCATAAAATTATTTTCGCTGCTACTTCATTACTGTTAATTTTGCTACTGTTATGAATCGTAATGTAAATATCTGATATGCAGGATGTATTTTCATTGTTACAAATTGAACATAATTAAAGCATAGTGATTAATCACAAAAACAATATGTAATTATATATGTGTTTTCCAATGGTCTTAGGCGACCCCTGTGAAAGGGTCATTCGACCCCCAAAGGGGTCGCGACCCACAGGTTGAGAACCGCTGGATTAAGGGATCAAAACAAAATAAATTCTCAGGAAGATAAAAACAATACGTTAAATGACTATCAGAGAATGAAAACAAAAATATTTTAATCCTCACCCAAGAACATGTTCATTGATTTTTGAGGAGGAGGGGGAGGGGAAAGAAAAGAGAGGGGAGGAGGGGGAGGGAAATTTCTGGATACTTCTGGATATTTAGCCAAAGAAAACAAAACCACGAATTCAAAAAGATATATGCCCCCTATGTTCTTTGCAGCATTTTTATTTATAATAGCCAAGACATGGAAATAGTCTAAGTGTACATCAATGGATGAATGGATAAAGAAAATATGATATATGTATTAAATCATTATGCTGTATGCCTGAAATTAATGTCAATTATACCTCAATGAAAAAAAAAATATATATATATATATAGTAGGTAATCATACTGTGTTAATTTCCCCATGCAGAAGTTTGTTAATGCAAGGTAAGTTACGTGTTCTTTCAGTGTGTTAGTACAAGTTGAAGAAAATAAAATACAACTTACTGTCCATAAGGATACCAACGGTGCTTAGTAGTAAAGAACATTTTGCTAAGTTGTTCTATCATGGGTCCTTGCTCCAAGTGTTCATCTTTTACTTCTAATCTGGTTTTCAGTATTTGATCCTGTGTTTCTTCATAATTATGCAAAGGATCTGGCCGAGGGATAGGCTACAAAATAATCAGCAATAAATAGCATCGAAATATAGGAATGTTAGCCAGCATTTGATAGTTTATGATAAAACAATTATTATTCTCAAGAATTCATTACAGTACCTCAAGGTGGGTAGGTGAATTATTAGAACAGAGCTTCACTTAGTTGCATTATTCATTAAAGAATAAGAAATACTTTTCTTCTCACATCAAGTTTTGGGTTTCTTTTCCAATAATAAAGTTCTTATTTAAAGTTCTGTTTTCCCCTCAATAAAAAAGACCTATTACATTAATTTCTATTTCTTAAAACTGTAAATAGCGCCTATTATTATTTTTAATTCAAAGTTTACAGTCTCTACCTTGAATAAAATTTAAGTAAAATACATGAAAAATCTTTCATTGAAAAGGACATTTCTGGAGACTTGCCTTGGGTGGTGAACACAAAATACAGACGATGTAGTATACAACTGTACATCTGAAACCTATATAATTTTATTAACCAATGTCACCCCTATATATTCAATTTAAAAAAAGAGCCTGGCTGGAGTGCTTCAGTGGTTGAGGATCAACCCATGAACCAAGAGGCTGCTGGTTCAATTCCTAGTTAGGGCACATGCCCGGGGTTGTAGGCTTGATCCCCAGTATGGGTGTACAGGAGGTAGCCGATCAATGATTCTCTCTCATCAATGTGTCCGTCTCTCTATCCCTTTCCCTTCCTCTCTAAAAAAAATAAAAAAAAATAAAAAAATTAAGAAAAAAAAAAGAAATGCCAGTAAAAAGCATGGGAAAGGGGTGGGTTTGAAGACTGGTTTAGTAAAGATTACATTTCTTAGGTGGGGATAGACAGCCTGGACAAGGTGAGTATATACTTGATTTCCTTATAAATAAAAAGAAAATTGTGTAAAAAAAAAAAAAAAGAAAGAAAATTTATTTTTTTTTAATTTTTTTAAAATATATTTTATTGATTTTTTTACAGAGAAGAAGGGAGAGGGATAGAGAGTCAGAAACATCGATGAGAGAGAAACATCGATCAGCTGCTTCCCGCACACCCCCCACTGGGGATGTGCCCCCAACCAAGGTACATGCCCTTGACTGGAATCGAACCTGGGACCCTTCAGTCCACAGGCCGACACTCTATCCACTGAGCCAAACCAGTTAGGGCAGAAAATTTCTTATATATAATGGAAGCAGGAAAAACTTCCATGTGTTTAGATGACTGAAATGCCAAAAAATGATGCTTTATGGTAATTTGAGAATGTTTTAGCATACACTTACATTTACTTAGCTTATGTACATGAAACAATAAGACCTCTTTAAAAGGCAATATATAAATGTATGAAGGTGGCACAAGATTATCAGAAATGCAAAGTAACAAAGATATCAGTGCGAAGTAGAATGGGAGCCAAATCAGAGACTTGTCAGAGGGTAGAATGTATTCTACAAGGGATAACCAAACCTTATGAGTAAAGAAATATAGGTAAGAACACAAAATAAATGGGTCATTTAAAAAAAAAAGATCTCACTGACTGGTGTGACTCAGTTAGTTGGTTCTTGTCCTCTACACCAAAAAACTGCTGGTTCTATTCCCGGTCAAGGCACACGCCTGGGTTTTGGGCTCCACCAGTTAGGGGCATGCAGGGGACGGCCAACTGATGTTTCTCTCTCATCAATGTTCCTCTCTCTCTCTCAAATCAATAAAAACATTTAAAAAACAAATACAGCCCTAACCAGTTTGGCTCAGCTCAGTGAATAGAGCATCGGCCTGCGGACTGAAGGGTCCCAGGTTTGATTCCGGCCAAGGGCACAAGCCTGGGTTGTGGGCTCAATCCCCAGTAGGGGGTGTGCAGGAGGCAGCTGACCAATGATTCTCTCTCATCATTGATGTTTCTATCTCTCTATCCCTCTCCCTTCCTCTCTAAAATCAATAAAAATATATTTTAAAAAATAAAATAAAATAAATAAAAAACAAATACAATAGTAAACGTTTAATGGTTTAAAAACAAACAAAAAAGTGGATCTCAAGAAACCAGATTATGAAAGGCCTTCAAAGTTAGATTTAGAAGTAACAATTTGACAGAAGTAGAAATAAGGAAACACTTAATGTAGTGTGGGAGGGAATCAGGAGGATGTATAATGAAGAGGTAAAGGACTTGGGCTTCAGCCTCTGATTCTATCACTTATTAGTTCTGTGACCTTGAGCAAGTTATTTAAGCTCTTCATTTCCCTTTCTGTAAAGTCAGAGAAGTAATAGATACCTAATAAAGACTTGATGAGGATTAAGTGAAATAATATAGAGCAGTGATGGCGAACCTATGACACGTGTGTCAGTGGTGACACGAGAACTCATTTTTTTGGTTGATTTTTGTTAAATGGCATTTAAATATATAAAATAAATATCAAAAATATAAGTCTTTGTTTTACTACGGTTGCAAATATCAAAAAATTTCTATATGTGACACGGCACCAGAGTTAAGTTAGGGTATTTCAAAATGCTGACACGCTGAGCTCAAAAGATTCACCATAACTGATATAGAGTATGCTTTGCTGTCTCTCATTACCTAAGAGTTCAATAATGGTAGGTAGCTATTAACATTTATTTTATATCCTCAAACAGAAAAAGTTATATAAATTTATTTTAAAGAAAAAGCGCTCCTGCCCAGCTGAGGGTCCACCTATGAACCCAAAGGTCACGGTTTGATTCCCAGTCAGGGCACATGGCCACGCTGCAGTCAATACCCAGTGTGGGTCATGTAGGAGGCTAATAAATGATTATCTCTTATCATTGATATGTCTCTCTCTCTCGCTCGCTCTCTCTCTCTCCCCCTCTCTCTTCCTTTCTCTCTGAAATCAATAAAAACCTACTTTTTTTAAAAAAAAGAAAAAGTGCTCCTTACGACACTTTATCATCTCTTTTTTGTAAAGTAAAATATTAATAAATGTCTTTGCAAGCTACTATCAGATCCTCAGAGGTATCAGCAAATATGGGAATGGAACCTACAGTTTCCTCTCTTTCAGGTTATTAAACTTATTGTTAAAAATCAAATGTTTTAAACATTATCAAGAAGTTAAGTGATTTTCAAGGGTTAATAAATATTCATGGTCTACGGTCCTATTCCCAAGCAGACCCAATTCTAATACATCACAAATTCTCTCTGCTGTATATGATTAAAAAGAGATTTTTGTTTTCTAGGCATACAGATAAAAGACATAGGAATTACTGGATTCTTCGAAGTCTATACCAAGAGCCTCTGGCAGACTCAGAATTGATTATTAGGCAGTATTTGATCTTCTTGATCAACTTCAAAGAAAGGGTACATGAATGTTTCAGTAAAAAGGAAAAACTAAAATAAAACTGAATATCAACTTCATAAAACATTCGTAACTGTCATCCTGAATTTTCTTAATTTCTTAAGAATTTTAAAAATGTGATGTTCAAAAATTTCCATTACATCAACCACCAAAAAGAACTGCCTAGTACTTATATTTTTACTTTATTTTTCCAATCATTATTTTTTTGCCCCTGGTGGAATATCTTTATTTTCCTAAACAAGAAATCCTAAATTTGGAAACATTTTTAGAATATTAGTTTTTAAAAATATATATTTTTTTTTATTGATTTCAGAGAGAGGAAGGGAGAGGGAGAGAAAGACAGAAACATCAATGATGAGAAAGAATCATTGATTGACTGTCTCCTGCACACCCCCTACTGGGGATCGAACCTGCAACCCATGAATGTGCCCTGACTGGGAATTGAACTGTGACCTCCTGGTTCATAGGTCAATGCTCAACCACTGAACCATACTGGCCAGACTAGAATATTAGTATTTTTAATAAAACATATACCAAGGCAGAAGCAAAAAAAGAAGGATCTTTCTACATGGATCTATGGAAGATAATCAACATGCTCTAGATTCAAATATAAATGACCAGAAAAGCAAAAATACAAATCATTTTAACTTTCTTAAAGCCAGTCTTCATTGGTATTTCTACACATGACTAGGAACTTTATATACAATATGCTTTCCAGGGTCTAGAGCAGTGGTTCTCAACCTTCCTAATGCTGCGACCCTTTAATACAGTTCCTCATGTTGTGGTGACCCCCCAACCATAAAATTATTTTTGTTGCTACTTCATAACTGTAATTTTGCTACTGTTATGAATCATAATGTAAATATCTGATATGCAGGATGTATTTTCATTGTTACAAATTGAACATAATTAAAGCATAGTGATTAATCACAAAAACAATATGTAACTATATATGTGTTTTCCGATGGTCTTAGGCGACCCCTGTGAAAGGGTTGTTCGACCCCCAAAGGGGTCGCAACCCACAGGTTGAGAACCGCTGGTCTAGAGAATCAAAGGGCCTACTTCCTGGAGAAAAGAATCATTGTAAGTCAAGTCTAAATTTTAAGTCATGTTTGAGGATTTTATTTCATATTATTATTTTAGTTTGTTTGAGGATTTTTATTTAATGTTATATACTATCATCATGAGATTTGTGAATCTGGATTCAGAAAGAACATACTTTATTCTAACATTAAAATGTTTTCAAGAATGTTTCTATTTGTACAGTCCAATCTACAATTTATTAGTTGAGAAACAAATAAACAAAAAACATCCATGGCTCCCCATGGAAATCCTTCTTTAGATACCACAGGAAGTGTGAATACTTCTAACAGCAAATTAAAGTTATATGATTTTTTCATACATACCTTGGTGTGTTCATACGGAATATCCACAGAAGGATGGTAGCAAACTATCGTCCTGCCATCAGATGTCAAAGCAAGTTCTACTTTGCTGAAAAGAATGTTTCAGAAACAGAGTTATACTGTATTCAAGGCAGAATGATATTCTTAGCACTAAAATTAACCAGTTAACTGCCAGGTGTCCAAAACAAAAACCATCCCAACACGCCACGATATTTTGAATTAAAAAAGTCAATTTGCTCTGTCTCTCTCCCTTCCTCTGTGTAAAAAATCAATAAAATATATTTAAATAAATAAATAAATAAATAAATAAATAAGCCAAAACCGGTTTGGCTCAGTGGATGGAGCGTCGGCCTGCGGACTGAAGGGTCCCAGGTTCGATTCCGGTCAAGGGCATGTACCTGGGTTGCGGGCACATCCCCAGTGGGAGATGTGCAGGAGGCAGCTGATTGATGTTTCTCTCTCATCGATGTTTCTAACTCTCTGTCTCTCTCCCTTCCTCTCTGTAAAAAATCAATAAAATATATTTAAAAAATAAATAAATAAATAAATCAATTTGCAATGAATATTATAAAAATAGATATAATATTCACAATTCAGGTGTTCTTGAATATTTTCAGCTGAAAATTCTCATGAAAAATGATTTTAAAGTTGGTCAGGACTGTCACTTAGGGAAAACATTTTTTTTGACGCACGTGGCGTATGGCGCTTGTGTCTACAGACACTTATGGCATACAATGGGTTAATTACTCATGAATCCCTGAAGAATAGATGCCACTTTACTGGACTGGCAAACTGATATGATCTATACCAATAAAAGGGTAATATGCTAATTAGGGCGGACGTCTTCCGGACATCCATCCAGACAAAACCACAGCGGCTGCGAGGCATGGGGCTGTCATGGGCTCAAGCAGTCGTGAGCCCCGGCGGCTACAAGGCCTGGGGCTCAGGCCTCGCAGCTGCTGTTGTGGCTGGCAGGGCAGCAGCAGTGGCAGCAGCAGCGGGTTGATGGGAGCTGATCAGCCCAGTTGCCTCCCGCAGAGGGAGGCCAGACTATGGCTTAGGCCCGCTCCCCATGGAGAATGGGCCTAAGCCATCCGTAGGACATCCCCTGAGGGCTTCTGGACTGTGAGAGGGGGCAGGCCGGGCTGAGGGACCGCCCTCCCCCCCCCCACCCAGTGCACAAGTTTTTGTGCACCAGACCTCTAGTACCATATAATAGAGAACAACTCAAACCACCCCACAAAACATGTCAGTTTACTACCACAACAAACCTCTAAGGCCTCACTCATTATTACATCTAAGGTACTCTTCAAATTGTTTTTTAGACTATCCAGATCTTTGGAAGAGACGTTCATGTTTGTCACTATTATTAGAACTTCTTTTTCTTATCTAACAACTTCAAAAAGTCAGAGGACATTACTTGGTTGAATTATTAAAGCTGAAGATCAGCGAAGTACATAATCTTCCAGGTAAAGGATCACGTGAATTTCTAGTCATAAAGACTGAAACATTTGTCTAGATCAGCATTTCAAGTTCCTTTGGCAAACAGTACAACTGTAAGAAACTTCCAATAAAAGAATTCGATGGTCAAACAAATTTGGGAACTACTGATTATCCCTTCCCTCCATTAATTCCCTCAGAAGAACACATTTTGGCAGTATTCCTCTAAACACTTCCTGGAATGCTCTGACTGGAACTCATTCTTTCAGGTACCAACTTACCAAGTTTCTTTTTCAAAAACTGGCAACTAATATTGTACTTAGATCTACAGACATTCTAAGGAGCACAGCGTTCAGCTTTTATTAAACATATGTTTCTTAGATATATATAAATTTAAGTTTCTAGTATTTCAACACCAACCAGATTTGAGCGAGACCAGCAATTAAACTATAAAGTGTATTTTAGCTAACACAGGATAAGGTTATTTCACCATGATATTAAGATTAAATACCATGAACATTTAAGATTAAATACAATGAACATTTAATCTATCAAATTATTTTGATGAAGGATCAAATGCACCTATAAGATTCATTCTTTTCAGGCTCAAATTAGACCTTGTCTAATTTCATCACTATCTTAGACACTTACTAAATGTACAATTAAAACTACATAGTGTCACTCTGTGGGTGTGGCTCAGTGGTTGGGCATCGACCTATGAACCAGGAGGTTGCTGTTTAGGAGGTTCAATTCCCAGTCAGGGCACATGCCCAGATTGTGGGTTCAATCCCCAGTGGGGGCCATGCAGGAGGCAGCCGATCAATGTTTCTCTCTCTCTTTCCCTCCCTCCCTTCCTTTCTCTCTCTAAAATCAATAAAAACATGTATTTTTGCCCTAGCTGGTTTGGCTCAGTGGATAGAGCGTCAGCGTCCCGGGTTCAATTCCAGTCAAGGGCACATGCCCAAGTTGCAGGCTCAATCCCCAGTAGGAGGCATGCAGGAGGCAACCAATCAATGATCCTCTCATTGATGTTTCTATTTCTCTCTCCTCCCTTCTTCTCTGAAATCAATAAAAATACATTTAAAACTGAAAAACAAAACACATTTTTTTAAAAAAACTATATAGTGTCAACAGGAAAGAAAATATGTTTTTACTAAAATTTGCAATAAAAAATGTAGCTTAAGAAAATATGTTGGTTTCTGCACATCAGCCTCTGCTGTAGAGAAAAAAAGACAACATCTTATTCATGTTATTCCCAGTTCTTAGCATAGTGACTAGAATAAACTGTGGTTGAATTAAATATTTGTGATTTGTATTATTCAATGACAAACAAAAGATAAGATAAATAACTGCATAAGCTAATAGATATAAACCCTAAGACAAAACTATAAAAACTAAGTTTTTCAAGAAACTTCTAAAGAATGCTTCAGGAAGAAAAGATAGCATTTCTAACAGTATGTCTGTCTTAAAATAAAGTATTTACTGAAATACAATGGTAATGATTTTTATTTGAAATGGTTATAAGCCCATACAATAAAATATAAAAATAAATAAATAAAAAAATTAAATTAAATTAAATTAAAAAAAAAAAAAAAAAAGCATGAAAACCCCAAATAAGAAATAAAATTAAATCAATTCAGATACAGCTAACAGACTGTTATTTTTTCAATTGAATTTTAATACATACCAATTATAGTCATCTGGAAGAGAAGAGTATGTGGATTTATGACAAACACAGTATAAAGCTCCATCTGCAAAAACCCCAAAAAATAAAATGGATTTTGTTAATTTGAGGATATGTTCTCACATAAATGTAAAGACAGCTTCATTCATTCAACCGATAGTAACTATTTACTATGAAGTAGGCATGTATTAAGGGCCTTGGATTCAACAAGTAAGATCCAGTGAACAAACAATTTCCAATAAAAAAGATAAGCCCTGTTAGGATGGATTAAGTATTTGGAAAGAGAAGGGAACACAGAAAAGTTACAAAACACAATTGTACAGCCCTGGCCAAGTGGCTCAGTTAGTTAGATTGTCTTACCGTACACCAAAAGGCTGTGCGTTTGATTCTGGTCAGGGCACATACCTAGCTTACAGGTTCCATCCCCCGGGGAGCATTTGGGAGGCAACCTATTGATGTTTCTCTCTCTCTCTTTCCCTCCCTCCCTCCCTTCCTCTCTCAAAAAAAAAAAAAATCAATAAAATCAATAAAAACATATTCTCAGGTGAGGATTAAAAAACAAAACAGAACTGTATAGGCTCAAGAATGCCTTTTCAGTGGAGATGATGTCTAAGATACTCTGAAGGATGAGGAAATAAATAGGAGTTAGTACGGGATGAGTAAAATGTTGCTTACAGAGGGAGTAACAAGTGCTAAGGACCAGAGGTAACAAAGAATATAAAGTATTTGGGTATTCTAAAAACATTCACGTGAATGGAGTGCACAGTTCATAAAGGGGGCATCTAATCTAATAAAAGACAAACATGCAAATTGACCATACCATCGCTACGCCTTAAGCCACACCCACCAGACAATCAGAGCGACTATATGCAAATTAACCCAACCAAGATGCCGGCCGGCAGCCACGGAGCTGGAGAAAGCAGGAGGCTTGGTTGCTCCAGTGATGGAGGAAGCCAAGCTTCCCGCCCCTCCTGGCAGGCTCTGAGCTCCACTGAAGGCAACAAAGTTTCAATATACAGTGGGGCCTTGACTTACGAGTGTCCCGACTAACGAGTTTTTCAAGATACGAGCCGTCTCTCGGCCGATTTTTTGCTTTGAGTTTTGAGCTAAAATTCGGGTTACGAGCCAGCTTCAGATACCCCACCGCTAGTTGGCGCAGCGAACATCACAGTGAACACCACAACATCAGCCCAGCATCACGTGTCTCACTCGTTCACTTTTTAATTTGACATACAAGTAATTTGAGTTATGAGCTCCGTCATGGAACGAATTAAACTCGTAAGTCAAGACCCCACTGTAGAAGGTAAATAAATCTCAGAATTAAAAAAAAAAACGAAAAAAAGGAGAGGCTGGGAGCTTCCGTCGCCGGGGGGCTTGGCAAGCCTGAAAACGGCCCTCAGCCCCTCACCCAGACTGGCCAGGCAACCCAGTGGGGTCCCCCCACCCTAAAGGGGGTGTGGCCATCCTGAAAACAGCCATCCGCCCCTCACCCAGGCTGGCCAAACCTCCATGGGGTGAGGGTCCCCACTGGGGGGGCTTGACCAGCCTGCAAACAGCCATCAGCACCTCACCCAGGCTGGCCAGGCACCCCAGTGGGGACCCCCACTCTGAAGGGGGTGTGACCAGCTGCAAACAGCCATCATCCTCTCATCCAGGCTGGCCAGGCACCCCAGCGAGACCCCCACCCTGATCCGGGACACCCTTCAGCGCAAACCAGCCAGCCCCCACCCATGCACCAGGCCTCTATCCTATATAATAAAAGGGTAATATGCAAACTGACCCTAACAGCAGAACGACTGGGAATGACTGGTCACTATGACACACACTGACCACCAGGGGGCAGATGCTCAATGAAGGAGCTGCCCCCTGGTGGTCAGTGCTCTCCCACAGGGGGAGCTCTGCTCAGCCACAAGCCAGGCTGACGGCTGCCAGTACAGCGGTGGTGGTGGGAGCCTCTCCCACCTCCTCAGCAGCGCTAAGGATGTCCGACTGCAGCTTAGGCCTGCTCCCCGCTGGCAAGTGGACACCCCCTGAGGGCTCCCAGGCTGCCAGAGAGATGTCTGATTGCCAGCTTAGGCCCAATCCCACAGGGAGCGGGCCTAAGCCAGCAGGTGGTCATCCCCCGAGGGGTCCCAGACTGCGAGAGGGCACAGGCCGGGCTGAGGGACCCCCCCCTTCTAGTGCACAAATTTTTGTGCACCGGGCCTCTAGTGTTAAGTAATAAAATACAAAATAAATTGTTCAAAATTAATTTCCATTAATCAAAATGCTCATATTTCAAAGCATACTTTTCTTTTTTAGAATACCTACAAATTTAAGAGCCATAATTACTTTTTAAAAAGTTTATTTGAAAGGATCTCCTGTTTAGAGAAAGGGTGTTCTTTTAAATATAAAGAAAAAATGTAAATGTAGCTCAGTATAGTTAAAAGCAAGCTCCAAATATATCTGGGCTATGTATCTCTCTCTCCCTTCACCCAACTGGGCCTCTTGCTCCTCAGTATGAAACACAATCCCCACTTTGCTCAAATATCACTCATCCTTCAAAGTCAAATGCTATTCTTGCATAAAAATCCTTTACCCTCTCCCCACGCAACAACCTCCATTACAGAAGGGAGACTTGTCTACTATATACATCCCACAACCAACATTTCATATGACATTGCTATACCTTCTTTGCAGTCTTTTCTGCATCTGTTATTGATGTGTATTAAGATATGTAAAAAAGATGTGTCTCTTCCTTCTTGTATACCTATCCTTTCTCCAAGGATTACATTATATTTAGAGGTCTAAATATAAATTCTAACCCCAAAGAAAAAAAAGTACCTTAACAAAATTCACTATTATCATACAAGAATGTTCAGCAAAATGTCAACCCCAAAATTCATTGATGTAAGATAACAAAATACAAAGAATTAGAAATCTAACATCATCTCTCAAAAGATTCATTAATTTTCAATTAACTGTGCTAATACAAAGAAGCAGTCAATAAGAGAAATCAGAGGATAAAGTAAAAAAACAGTCACACAATTTATATTTTCTTGTTTTACACTATGGAGGATCTTCCTAATTATGCCTGGATTAATTTTAAAAGAAGTTTTAGTCTTTGAATATAAACCAGCTAGGTGAGGTACATGCTCGCTGAAAGAAACAGGGTTGGGTGGCAGAGGAGGGCCACACATTATTAAGTGTTCTTAACTAGGCAGGAAGGAAAACACAAGACAACAGTGCTTCATTTCAACAAGAAACTCTGTACAATTATTCTTCACTTACACAGACATTTGTACCCTCATGACATACATCACATTCTACCTCATACTCCAGATATTTCTAGTTTCTATAGATGTCTGTTTCACCTACAAATCTAAGTAAGTTCCTTAAGGCCAGTAACCACACCATGTACATTAATGTGTCCCTCATACTGTAGTGGCTACCAAAAAATAGTGGCTGCCAAACTGCCTCTAAAATGTTAATTTCTGCATAATTAATACTTGAAAAACTCATATGACATTTTATCAAGAGGAAAATTCTAGTTACAGTAAGTATCAGAGGTTCTAAATATATTAGGACAAGTTAACATCAATCAACCCAAAACAACTAAATGTGCCCAAAAGAATTCCAATGAAGAGTCAGTTCTCTGTAACTTATGGGCTACTGTTACATAAATATGCTTAACTGCATTTTAATAAAATATATAAAAGCTGAGCCTGGCTGGTGTGGCTCAGTTGGATGAGCGTCATCCTGTGCATCAAAAGGTTACTGGTTTGATTCCTGGTCAAGGCACATACCCAAATTGTGGGTTTGGTCCCCCAGTCAGAGTGCGTACATGGGGGCAACTGATCGATGTTTCGCTATTTTTTTTAAAAAAATAAAAGGTGATAACCCCACTTAATCTACAAATGTTCAATATTTTAAGTTACTACAGGTAAGGCGGTACAGCAGGAAGTGTATTGGACAAAGTAAGATGGGGAGACCTCGGTTTTGATCACAATTCTCATTTACCACTTATACAACCCTGGGTATGTTTCTGAAGGCCAGAGAACTCAAGTTCCTTCATCTTCAAAGTTGTAAAGATCAAACAACTTAATATGCTAAAAAAGTGTAAAATGCCCCACATTCTCATGCTGACTGTATATTTTGGAAGGCTTAAGAAGTTCCTTCTGAAATATAGGGAGGCCTTTTTATTTTTGCTCATTAATTTTCTTCCTTAATCATGGTTTTGCTTTGCCTCTAATATTAATATTCTTCTTTTTGGTATAAAATAGCAATAATAGTAATTCTATACTCCAATAATAGTAATAGAAATTATGCAGTATAAGGGCTTAGGATGCAAGAAGTCAGGTAGTCACTGAGTACCAGGATGACTAAGTGATAATGGAACAATTTTCCGAGGTAACTTAAATTAATTTTTAGTTAAATTTTGACAACTCCAATCCATTCAGATCAGTTCAACACTTATTTATCACCTACCATGAATGAGAGGCACTGAGGAAACCAAAATAAATTAGTGCACAAATTTACAATCTAGGGGGTAAAGTACACATAGACAAATGTCACTTATCCTAGGACAGATTAACCCAAGTGAGGACTAACTGCTATTTCAGGACATGGATTAGGTAAAAACTGATTAGGTCTGATTTTCCATCAATCTTGGGGCTGGGTTTCTGTCAGGGCAAAGGGGAGGCTAAGCAGCATGGGTTTTACTCACAAAAATGTTCCCAGGCAATCAAGGGCTGACTATTGTTTTGTTTTGACTCTGATTTTTACATCAAAAGTCTCTTAGCAATCTCCTCCTCCGTTTACTTAGATCATTATATTTTTACTTATACTTTTAATCCTACTCTTCAAACTCTTTCCCCCTTAACTCAATAAACATTCTATTGCAAATGAGAGTAAACAGGAAACATAAACAAAGAGCTTCAAATGAGGTAGAAATGCATAAAAGATAGGCTGCTCAGGCCAGTGTGGCTCACGTGGCTGAGCGTCTGCCCAAGCTTGGAAAGGTTGCCAGTTCAATTCCTGGGTCAGGGCACATACCCAGGTTGTGGGTTACCCGGGTCAGGTTATGTATGGGAGGCAACCAATTGATGTTTCTCTCTCCCTCCTGGCTTTCCCTCTAAAATCAATAAAATCAAATAAAAAATTTGGCTGATGTAGCTAAACATGCAAAAGCAAACCATAGGGAACTCTCTCACTATCTACTTTAGAAATGGGAGAATAGTGTTCAGACAGTGAGGAAAAAGGGTGAAAGTAAGGTTGGCTGGGGAATAAGATTTTAATAATCTACTTATTTATTTGGGTTGATATTTTGGCTTTCAAACATGTATTAATAGATTTTGAAAAAAAACACATTACATTGCATTTCTTTAGAAATGGTAGGTAAAATTTACATTTTTTCAATGGCTAAATATATAAAAACACAAAGAGAATACATCAAAACGTTAACACTGATTATCTTTGTAAGATGGGATTGTAATTTTGCCCTTTATTTACTGATGTTTACTATTACTAAAAAAATATGTAAAATAATAATAATAATGTGAAAATATAGTAAATATGACTCAAATCAGAGAAAGTTTGTTTCTCTTTATCAATCTTTCACTTGCCCTCAGCTAAAACCCCACTTGTGGTCTACACAGATAACCCATTTGGTCCATACTTTCTACTCTGCATTTGTACATATATACACACACATATATTGGTAGATTACCTTTTATATGTACAAATGGGATCATACAATAGATACTATTCTATGACATACTTTAAAAATATATTTTTATTGATTTTAAGAGAGAGGGAGAAAGAAACATCAATGTGAGAGAGAAACATCGAGTGCCAGCAGCTGCCTCCTGCACACCCCCTACCAGGGACAGAGTCCACTTAGTCCTCCCGCTAAGACATACAATAAGTAAATGCTTTAAACTTTCTATAATGAATACATATTTCTATATTTGAAAAAGTTTTAAACTCTTTTTAAACATTAAATACTCACTTACTTTGGATTGGAAATAAATGTTTCAAAATAGTTCTGTTTGATATCGCCCATTTCACTGCTGATACGGCCATGGTGAATCAAGATGCTTTATCAGGTGGTATGGAAAAAGATTTGAAGAGAAAATGCTTTTAAAATTTGCTTCTAGGCATACCTATTTTCATCCCTGAGAGATAAAAAATAAATTAATAAATCATTGCTACCTATGGTAAATTAAAGTGACACAATATATTGACCATTACAAGGACAAGATAGGAATCACTACCTAGAACCACAATCACCTAAAGCAAAACTTTTAAACAGCTTTCCATTTCCATGTTACATAAGAGTAACATTATCTAAATACATGATCAGAAACCCCAGAACTATGTCCTTTACAATTTCTCTTAAATGCATAGTTCTCAGCACCTATTATAATTCTCTCAACTTCTTGAGTGCTCAGTAAATGTGGAATTACCCTTAGAAGCAGTCACTCACACATGCTACACAGAGCATCCTTTCATACGCTAATGTGTCTGTGTACAACGTCCCAGGTACCATACATAGGATCTTATTACAGCTCTGAAAGTGGTATTCAGTTTCCGACTAAAGGAAATATTAAACAAGGCCTATCCTTGGCCTATTAAATACTGATTTTTTTAAAAAAATACTTAGATGATTAACACCCTAAAGTGCCAAATATAATTTCACCATCTTCTATACAGGGTGCGGCAAAAGTAGGTCAACAGTTGTGAGTACATGAAACAGTTTATTCGTATATTATTATTTATTAGAAGCCGCTGCACGAAAATTCAGCCTGGCCTCAGCGTGGCCTGCGCCCCTTCTTAGTCCGGGAGCCCTCAGGGGATGTCCCACTGACCACTTAGGCCCACAGTCTGGCCTCCCTCTGTGGCCCCATCGCAGCCGCTGCCCCCCATAGCCGTCCCCTCCCTCTGCCCACTGGCATGGCCTTGGCTGGCCTGGAGCCGCCTGCTCGCTGGCCCCACCTCCCCGCTGACCCATTGTTCCACCATTTAGCCGATTTGCATATTATGCTTTTATTATATAGGAAGGACTATTGTTATTTTCCATTGAACTGTAAACCTACCTTAGCTCCACCCTGTATGTTTACGGTTTTTCATTTTCCAAGGTACTTTCATTACCATTTCATTTCACTCTCATATTAATCATGAGGTATCTTTATTTTGATTCACTATGAAACTAAGTACAAACTTTAAATGAGTAACTTCCAAGAGTCGGTCGCAAACTGGGAAACACTGGGCAAGTTATTAACTGAATGACCCTCAGTTTCTTCCATGGTAAATGGGGAAAACCACCACAACCTCCATGGCTATTGCGAATGAAAGAACACAAGCATTGCTACAGCCCTTGTTTTTACTTGGCCCCGGTGGCTGTCTCCTCCCCTCCCCCACACGGGCAACACGGGATTTGCACGCGGTTCCGTCTGCTCGCCTGACCTCGCAGGTCCATTCCTTCCCCTGTCGGTGCCTGAGCACCGCTCTCCTGAGTTCACAGTGTGCTTTTCCCAGCTTACCACCCACTTTCCTACCCTTTATGCGGCCTTCCACCGGCCGGTGAGGTGGGCATCTTCATGCCACACACTCAGAGGTTCAGAGAGGTCAGACGATGCTGCCCACCATACCTGTGCTTTGTCGGTGGCCAGAGTGGTACGCAAACCAGCTTTCTGAGCACAAACCCAGAACAAGACATTTGGGGTGGGTGGGGGGGAAGGTCTCCTTTGCCCCGAGGCAGCTCACCCATGGGGGGGGGCAGATTAGTCACCCAGGGGAGAGTAATTCGGAGGGTCAATCCCTTGGCCCGGGATTCAGCCCCGAAGCAAGAACTGCAGAGAGCCTCGGAGGGCCCTGAGTTTGAGGGACAGGCTACCAGGAGCGCGGGGTCCAACCTCCGGGGGCAGATCCCACAGACTCGGGCCCGGAGGAGTCCCGGGCGCCGGGCGCAGGCTCGCCGCTGGTACCCACAGGACACGCGCGGCCACGCGCCGGCCCCTCGGCAGGACGCCCGAGACTGGCGGCGCCAGAGGCTGTATCCAGCCGCGAACCACAGGCGGGAGGCCGCGACAACCGCGGGCAGACCTCCGGGCCTGCCCGACTTAGCTTTCAGGGACTCCCTGACCGGAGGAGGAAAAGGCACCGGTTACCTTGACGTCTGCTCACCGCGAGCCCGCCATCTTCCTCCAGCCGGGTCCTAGGACAACCACTCCACGTGCCTTCCTGGCCGCCGGGCATTCTGGGAAATGTAGTCTCGCGGGAAAGAGCTCCCTGCGGGGCGGGGAGTACTCGGGGCCACCTAAGGTGCTCCATTTAGTTGCTAGCAACTTGACTCACATCACTCAAAAAAACAAACAAAAAAACACAAGATCGCTGCCCCACGCACACAACCTTAGAAAGTAGCAAGCGGTATTCTATTTAAGTTTATATTAATAATTAGAGTCCCTAATGGGGGGATGAGGACACATTTGTAATACCTTAACCAATAAAGAAATTTAAAATAATAATAATAATAATAATAATTAGAGTCCCGCCGGTGTGTTCAGAGGTTGAGCATCGACCTATGAATCAGGAGTCATGGTTCGATTCCCAGTCAGGGCACATTGCGGAGGAGAGGGGGAGGGCGGGGGGGGTTGCTGGCTTGATCCCCAGTGTGGAGCATGCGGGAGGGAGCTGATGGGTGATTCTCGGATTGGAGGCCCTCCTCACTTCCCCATTTTAACTTCACACCCAACCCCACCCCTAAGGGTTTAAAATAGGGAAGTGAGGAGGGCCTCCAATCGAGAACCCAGCACTGTGTTCCCAGAACTGTGCTAGCTATTCATTATGGGAGGAAGAAAATGTGCAGAATCCTGGATTTTGCCTTTTATCTTACCCGTTCTGTTCTCATTGCCATCAGTGCTCTTCTTTCAGCTCTTATGACCACTGCCTTACTTTATCCATATTGCTCAAATATCATCTCAGAGAAGACCACACCATTATAATAGCCTCACTCACCCATATACTGTTGCCTTCCTTTAGTTTTCTTCATAACATCTACCATTATATAACATCATATTATTTGTCTCCTCCTTTCATGTCTGTTTCATGCTGGAATGCAAGCTCCACAAAGGCAGGGACATGTATCTATCTTGTTCTATGTTGTATGCAAACCCAACATCTGGAACTGTGTTTGGTCTCACTGAAGGCCTCCAGTATTTGTTGAATGAATGAAACAAATAACACAGCAGGCATCGAAAATAGCAGATGATTGACTGCTACAGCAGCAGTGTAACCTGGAAATTTCTTTCCCTCATGATTTGCAAATTTTGTATTTATGTACATTTTTCTGAAAAGGATTCATAGCTTTTATGATGTATTCAAGGGGGTCAATAAACCCCTCAAACGTTAACAACCATTGTCCTGAGTGATTAATATTAAAAATAAGTGAATGTAAATTCACAATAAAAAAAAATAAATGTGGGCTGCTGTGGTTTCTCTCATTTCCCACAGAATACAGGCTCCTGCTGCTGCTAATCATTGCTTCTGTGGAAGCCCAATGAGGACTCATCTCTGTCTTTTTAATCTTGTCCATCTTTCAAAATCACTCCATAATGCCTTTCTGGACTATGCTGTAGGAAGAGATAGAGAGGAAAAACAGAGTTGAATGAACAATCAACTGGATTTGTCAAACATTCATTGTGCAAAGCGGAAGGGGGATAGATTAAAGATGACTTCAGAGGACATGTCTTGATGGCTGTGACAGAATAGGGACCACTGACCAACAGGGAGACTCATCAGAAAGGTTTATGAAACTGAGACTAGAAAAGAAACCAATCACGTGCATGGAAAGGAGAGTAGAACTAGCTTTAGGCTGAGGGAACAACTTAAAAGTCTTAAGGGGGTGAAAATAACTTACCATCTCCTGGAATACAGTGTGGAGGAGAGTGGCAGGAGATGCAGTAAGAACCATGTCATGTTGGGCTTTGTAGGCCTTGGTGGCGACATCATGGAATTGGGACATAGGCCATATGTGTAGATTATTCTAAATGTAGTAGGGAGTCACTGGATCGGTTTAACACAAAAGAAGGGACATATGATTTATGTTTTGAAAAGATTACTCTGGCTGCATTGTAAGGAGTGGCAAGACTGCAAGCAAGTCTAATGAGAGTATTGCTATACTGCAGTCAAGTTAAGAGATGAAGGTGATAACATGATGTAGGGTAGCAACAGTGGAGATGAAGAGAAGGGAAGAGAGTCCAGATATATTTTGAAAATGGAAATGATAACCAAACTTGCTGGTGGATTGATTGGATGTGGAAGCTGAGAGAGAGGAAAGGCACTTCAGGTCATGCTTTGATGACTAGCTTGAAGGTGGAATGGTTCATGAGATAGGGAAGAGTGAAAGGGGAGCAGATTTGGGGGTCTGATGAAGATAGAAATGAATGTCTCCACTTGGAAGTTGTTGAGTTTGAGATACCTCTGAAATATCCAAGTAGGGATTAAAGATATAAAGTGAGGTAGCTGATGGGAAAAAATGTGTCTAGAGAATAGAGATTAGGCTAGATATAGATTTAAAGCCATGGGAATGTTGAGTGCATGTAGGTAAAGAGTGTAGAACTAAAGAAAAAGGTGTGAGAGTAGTTAAGAAAGGCATGTCATGTCATGAAGTATTTCTTAACTTTAGCATCCAGTGCCAACAAGTTAAAAACTACTATTTCCAAAAATACAAACTTGAAATACCAATAAATAACTTACATTAGCCTACATAAAAGCTGTTGCAATTCATGCTAATGAAATGACAACGCAGATAAAATCTTAGAGGTTTGGAGTTGGTTTCAAATGGCTTCAGTTGAAAGGGGGTCAGCTTTTTTCTTTTCTAACTTCACAGAATAAAGTCACTCTTTATATAAATCAGAGATCAAAGACTTCAGAGCAATCTAACTGCCAAACCATTAGGGATAATCTTTCTAAAAATGTTTTTTTTTTTATTACATAAAATTGGCTATAATTTTGAGCATTTACTATGTGCCAGACTTTTAAACACTTTACATGTATTGTTTTTTTCTATTCCTACTGTTGGCCCTAGGAGATGGGTATAATTACTGTGACTGTCATTAGATAAATGAAATAACAGGAGGGGAATTGTGTAGAAATATTATTTGAATCCAGGAACTTCTGATACCAGCACCCATGAGCTTAACTACTGTGTTAGACTGTGCCATGCTCATTTCCAAGTAGAAAATGTAGATTAAAAAAAATCCAAGTTTTAAAAAAATCCAAATTAATACAGATTTTAAAAACAAAACCCCAGAGATAATATCTACTAACATTTTGATGTGTAACTTTTCATTTTTATCACTTCTTATATCTATACTAGAGGCCTAGTGCACGAATTCTCTCTCATCATTGATGTTTCTATCTCTCTCCCTCTTTCTTCCTCTCTGAAATCAATAAAAATATATTTTTAAAAAACCCTAATCTGTGAATAATCTCCTTGTGCAGGAAAGCTGCCTAAAAGACACCAAAATACTCCTATCAGCATAAAGATATTCTTGCCCTCTTCTCTCAAAAATCACACCTGAACAATGAGAACAAGGATGGTAGCCAGCAGATGTAGGTATGGCCCCTGACTTAGCAGGACACAGGAAAGTTAAGCCTACAGATTCCACCAAAGCTCAAATAGTTGGTGGCACCAAGTACCAAGTATTAAAAGAAGAGGGAGTGGGGGGGGCTGAAATTTACGGAATGCTTAAAATTCAGTGTAAGGTACAATTAGACCTCAGACTCTCATACCCATGAGCCCACCCTGCTTTCTCTATTAGAAAATAAGTTCAAGATCAGAGCTCTTACCTTATTTTTATTTTACTAGCCTACCCTCACCCCCCACCTTGTTTATTTTTAAAACCCAGTTCTTAGGGAGGGTCCAGTACATGCTAGGTAGAGAATAAAGGAGGCAGGAAGGACAAAATATGTGCCAGGCATTATGTTACTGCTGCACTCACAGCACAAAGAATATGATGGTCCCTGCCTTAGAAAAGTGTGCTGTGTGGTGAGGGAAGTAGGTAAACAGATTACTACAGTTAACATTTTTTAGAGCATAATGTGCAAGGTGTTTTATAGAGGATAAAGATTTCTCAGAGCGGGGTGAGAGAACAGCAGGCAAATGGAGTGGGAATTGCAGTTGAAAAGGCAAAATGATGTGGGTGAGAAGACAAGATGAGAAAATTATGGTGTCCGAGTGTAGGTATGGTTGATCACAGGATATCCAAAGCAACAAGATTGTTCAGACTGTGGTCTGAGGTGGCCTCTGAGATGGAAAGTAAGCAGTAGGTTAAGAAAATATCAAGTGTTTTTATGATTAGAAGGGAAGAGGAGTAAGTTTTCTGTCTGATGAATCCTCCTACATAATAAAAGGCTAATATGCAAATCAACCAAACAGCGGAACGACCGGTTGCTATGATACGTACTGACCAGCAGGGGGCAGACGCTCAACGCAGGAGCTGACCCCTGGTGGTTAGTGCACTCCCGCAGGGGGAGCGCCGCTCAGCCAGAAGTCAGGCTCACAGCTGGCAAGCACAGCTGTGGTGGCGGGAGCCTCTCTTGCCTCCACAGCAGTGCTAAGGATGTCCAACTGATGGCTTAGGCCCACTCCCTGCTGTTAGTTGGACATCCCCCGAGGGCTCCCGGACTGCGAGAGGGCACAGGCCAGGGTGAGGTACCCCCCTGATCCCTCCCCTCACCCTGCCGAGTGCATGAATCTCATGCACCGGGCCTTTAGTTTAAAATAATGAGCTTGGTTGCTGGGTCTGCTTGGCCTTGTCTCTTTCCCTCCTCTCATTCTCTCTATTCCTTTTCTTCTAAGTGACTATGCCTAAAATTGGGGAGCTGATGGGGGAATATTAATACGCCCAAATTATTGCTGACTTAAAGTTGTGTTCTCCAATCAACTTTATTGGTAATGAAGGTAATATTTTTGTCTCCAGCTCTTTTAATTTGGTTATAATTTGAGGAGCCGAAAAGGGGGCTATTTAGTGGTGAGGAGAAAGTGAAAATAGGGGCAACTTTAACCAAGCTGCTAAAATTATCAACATTATGAAAGTTGAGGCATGAGGTATGAGGATATGATTCTGTTTTTGTTCTAACTAGCCTGGGAACTTAAACTTTTTGAACTGTCCAGTCCTGTTTCAACACCTGGTTATACATATGGACATGCACCAGACCTCCAGATAACCCTCTGAATACTCTCCTGAAGGATTCACGTATCTAGATCACCTGACATCCAT